TCTGTGGAAGTCTTTGTGACAATTTGTTCACCAGAAAGCAGTCTTGTGAACTTTCTCTTCCTTTAACTACGCTAACAGATTTTACTAAGCTATATCACTTTAAGGCACGTTTCCGCCCTTATTTGATTTGATTGCGAAACTCTTGTACCAAGTTTCTGTCAGCTAATTAATAAATTCACGAGTTAATGTTTGACGAATCGTCATTACTTGCTTTCCAAGCTCCTCTGTATGAAAACTAGACATAGAAAATCTATGGGTAACTGCCTCTGCGATTTGGAGGGCGAGTTAGAACTGGAACTTACCCTTAGGTTTGACTTTTTCCGCCTTTCATTGTCCAATTCACATGACATTCCTAACTCGGATAGCCACAACTCTTAACCTCCTCTTAACTCATTTTGGACTTAAAAGCCCCTAGATTTAGGCTCCGCTATTGTCAGTTCAGTAGCACGAATGTGAAGTTAAAACTGAAGGCAGCAGCAATGTTACTAAAACATTTGTTTAGCTTTTAATACGAAACAATATTAACTTTATTAGCTTGCAAACAATTTTGTGGGCTGTCATTGCCTAATGACCACGCAGTCTTGTGGCTGCCGGGAAGTGCATGCGGTGCCGAGCGCAGTGGTCTCGGTCCACTTGAATGGAAGCATTCTTCATATGAATTTGCTTCTCTAGTGCCAACTGCTCATCCTGAAGGTGCCTGAGATTGTTTTCCGTGTTTGACAATTGATTCCTCAGCTTGTCAATCGTCTCTTGGATGTTATGCATCTCGTCTAGCATTCTGAAATTGAAGGGTAGTAAACAATTACACAAGCATGAGCAAAAGTGTAGTTTATGCAATACGGGAAGGCGGTTCGCCTCCTGGTCGGTAGTTAATGGGCAAAACCATACGCTTTTTGTGGTGGATCACGACAGTTTTCGACGTTTTGTCGCTGATTGTGCAAATGAAGTCGCGTCTGAACGGTCTGGACGTAAGCATCTTTAGCAACAATCGCATTCTCCATATCCTTGATGCTGTTTTCCATTTTGAGAATTTCATCACATGTCTACAACGTGGGGACAAATGTGGCGTTGCATTTACAAAGACAGACGTTGCAGAGGCAAGCATTCAAGAACCATTTCAGATGACACAAACGAGTAACAACACATAAGTATTACGTTATCACTTGCAGTGGAAAAATTGTAGAGAGCTGACAACAGATCTTACCTTTCTGAGTTTATCAGTAAGATTCTTTTTCTCGCACTCATACTGGTCCAGTCGGCGCTGGAAGGCGGCGTTGACAGTGTCCTTCTGTTGGATGACGTCACGCTCAACATCGTGAAGGATGTTTTCGCAGAGATGAAGGAGCTGATCGCTGGCAATACGCTCGTGCTCTGACCGTAAGATGAGGTCGTGGGCGTGCTGCGTCCACGATTCTACTGTAGACTGAGCAGCCTGAGGCCAGCTGCGGGCCTCGCCCGGATAGTGCTGTTTGTTGGTGCTCTCGGGAGTCAGATGCGCCCCTTCCGTGTCCAGCATGTCAGCCTCATGCTTATCACTCCATGCCTTCTCCAAGTTCGTCTTTGCCGTACGGTTTCGGCTAGCGACACAACACGCGATACACATGCAGCACTTAATTTGCGCACACCTCGCACAGTTGTGTATGCCAACGCCCTACAAAAATTACCCTCATTCTTCTACCATGCCCTTCATTTCAACGTGAATGCTTCTCCATAATTCCACGAAGCATACACTCAACTCACCTATGCTTGAATCACAAGGACCTATCAAGAGTTAGATCTTTGCTATTGCAGATGACACATAAGGTCGAAGGATGTGCGCTGGTAGGGACGAAAGTGGGAAAACTGTAATGACAAGACTGCTCATAAACGAAGGCACAAAATGCACCACAGTTTGATGCTCGAATGCTCGATCCTTCGAAAGTGAGGCAGTGTATTATTATCGCAGTTTTAGTGGCAGTCTAGGACAACTGCGATAACTTACAATCAGCGGCTCGGAGATCATCCCTGTAGGGACAAGAATTGTAAGTGAAGTAAGTGAAGGGTGCATCCTCTTGCAGCAGTACTAAGCAAACGCTGTAATGCAGTTAAAAGTTCCCAAAGGCAGCACACAAGATTAATTGGATGGCCAAGTGATTCCGCCTGGCATGGGGTGGCGCAAATAAACTCTCACGGATTTATAACAAAGCGAATAGGAGGAGACCAGAACGTACTTGAGCTGATCATTGACCTGTTCTATTGACCGTTTAATCAGTGCGATGGCCTTGTTGAGTATGTCAAGTTCCTTTTCAAAAGGTAAATAAGAAATCACGATAGCAGAAAGCGATGCCAAATAAGCTGATAGCTTGTGACCACGTGCACGCAATACCGGGAGCTGAGGCCACTCAATCACCCCGTCCCGTACGGGCAAACAACTGCCGTCGCACAGTGCCCACATGCTTACCACGTTAAGAGTGGATAAAGGCCAACACTTCATCTGATTTGGATTTCATCCAGACACTCCAAATTTTGATTGCTGACCCTAAAATTTTTGTCTGCTCACTTGTAACTTCGTCCTCTAAAAGTAGATCTTCTTGCACAACGCTCTGAAGCTTCGACCCACCACTTCCATTTTTACAGGTACGAAATAAGGAGACTCTTGTTTACACCAACGTGGCCATGCCTCCTAAGTGCTCTTGTCGAGTTACTTAAAGCACCTTTAATTCAACAAAAAATCGACTCTTGATTTAAAAGCGAATCACTTTAAACACTGATTTTTTGTATCATTAAATTCTAGTAATGTAAACTACGCGCGTATTTATGCTTAAATAAGGAGTGGACTATCAAGTACCTTTATAAGTTGAAGTTCAACTTCATCCTGCTGCAAATCCTCTCCAAATCGCCGTTGTCGAGCGTTTAAGCAGTCTGTGGTCAGCAGTACGCACTCATCCAACGCTTTGAGGCTGGTATTCAACTCCGCCAACCGATTGAGTAACAAATCATTCATGGAAATCACTTTTAAAATCTCATTTTCCATTTCATTTTTCCACATGTGCAAATCCGTGAGACGTTCTCTGAGTCGCTCCGTGGTATTGCGAAAATCTGCTTTACTTCGCTCCTCCGCCTCTGCCATCATATTCTTGTTGTCATTGCGATTTTTTTCCCCAACATCGACATCCATCTGCGCCAAAGCAAGCCGATTCTCTAGAGCAGCTCGCGCCTCCTCGGGAGCGTAGCGGCCGGAGCGGAAACCAATGGTCGAGACACCGCTTTCGATGCCATTTGAGGTGGCGTAGACTTGCTCAGGAAAGCATGGCGGTGTCTCTCGAGGAGCTGCACGTTCGGCAAGTGTTTGGGCGTCTGAACAAAACATAGCAGCCTTATGAACGAAGGGGCAACCTCCAACTAGTTCCTTGAATCTAGGATCGATGAGATTTCCTGTGGAAATTTTGAACGGGGTCAAACAATCACCTGATGGTTAGCACCAGGAGAATGTGACTGGATTCAAGTTTGCTCGCTGGGTTTCCATGTCATCGTACACACATTTGCGTGAACATTGGTGCAACTTACACTATGTGATGCTTCGTGTGCAGCTTTAGTTGTCATGTGTGAGTGCCAGATTCGATAAACAACTTCTCTTTTAGTACGTTTTGACACTTAAGTAATACTTTGGTATTTTAGCACTGAAAAGTTTTGATGGGAATTTTGTCCTCTGAGGGCAGAAGAACAAATGGATAAAACGCCCTATGAAATGGCTGTGGCAGCGTAGTTAGAGGAAGAGAAAGTTCACAAGACTGCTTTCTGGTGAACAAATTGTCACAAAGACTTCCACAGA